GACAGGGCGGGTGAGGCGCTCCGCCATGCCGGCCTATTCCTGATTATTGTCGTCGTCCCCCAATGACCCACCCGCGGCCCACCCAGCGACCCACACCGCGACCCACACCGCGATCCACCCGCGACCAACCCGCCATTCAACCGCGACCCACCCCGCGCCCGCCCCATAGCATTTGATGCTCGATTTGAGCGGGGAGACCGTCGAAACAAACAAACAGAAGAGGACCGAACACTTCACGGCCACCGCGTTGTTGCACTGTTCGGATATCTGACCCACGTCCAAGCCCACAGCACACGCGCAGCGGCGGCCTGGGACGGGTGAAAATATCTGCCGCAACCGGGGAGGAGAAGGAAAGGGAATAGGGAGAGAACCAGGCTATGGAAACACGGGGAGTGGGCGGACGACGCGGACGAGGACGGAGGGGGCGGACGACGAGGACGAGGACGAGGAGGAGGAGGAAGAGGTGGAGGAGGAGGAGAACGTTCAGGAGGAGGAGGAGGAGGAGGAGGAGGAAGGAGGAGGAGGAGGAGGGAGGAGAGGAGGAGAGGGGGAGGAGGAGGAGGAGGAGAGGAGGAGGAGGAGGAGGGAGGAGGAGGAGGAGGAGGAAGGAGGAGGAGGAGGAGGAGGAGGAGGTGGGGGGAGGAAGAGGAGGACGACGAGGACGAGGGACGAGGGACGAGGACGAGGACGAGGAGGAGGAGGAGGAGGAGGAGGACATGGACGAGGAGGCTCCTGAAACCGCCCTTCGCCGCGGACCCCAGGCGGAACCGCCCGAATCCAACGACGTCGCGCTGGGCGCCGCGGTGGCCAACGCGCCGAACCCCGCGGGCGCCGCGGCGGTGGACCCCCCCGCCGCCCTGGCGGAGCGGGCGCCAGAGGCGCCGCCCCGGGAGGAGGAGCGGGCGAAAAAGCGGCATGGACGGCGAGGAGAAGGAGGAGGAGGAGGAGGAGGAGGAGGAGGCGGAGGAGGAGGCGGAGGAACAGGAGGAGGAGCGAGGAGGAGGAGGGGGAGGGAGGGAGGAGGAGGAGGAGGAGGAGGAGGAGGAGGAGGCGGAGGGTGAGGGTGAGGAGGAGGAGGAGGAGGAGGAGGAGGAGGAAGAGGAGGAGGAAGAGGAGGAGGAGGAGGAGGAGGAGGAGGAGGAGGAGGAGGAGGAGGAGGAGGAGGAGGGAGGCGAGGAGCGAAAGGAGGAGGAGGAGGAAGAGGAGGAAGAGGAGGAGAGGGACGAGGACGATGAGGGCGGCCCCCGAGACGAAGCTGGAGGACGAGGAGGGGCCGGAGGAGCGCAACGCCTCTCGAGCGTCTCCCGGCGGCCGTGTTGGCGCGCGCCCGACGGACTACGCCGAGGCGCCCTCGCGCCACGATTGCGGAGAGGGCAAGGTGGAAGAAAGTGTTGAGGAAGGACGAGTCAAGGAAGATCCCGTCCAGCATGAGGTAGGAGAGCAACACGGAGCCGAAGGCGAAACCAGTGACGGGGAGGGCGTAGACGTCTTCCTTCATGTGACCCACAACCCAGACAAGTCATTCACCCAGGCAACGAGCATGAGTGAAACAGCACCAAGTCAGACACGTGTGAAATGTTGCCACTCGTCGTACGGATAGAGGGTCATGCCGACACTTCCCTCCAGCGGGAGGTCCCGGGCAACGAGCGCCCCGTAGACCTCCTCGTGGCTGCACGTCCCGACCATGAAGTCGACCGTGTGCACGGTACCGCACAGGCCGACAAGGATTTGGTGGAGACGAGGGCGGCCACGGCGTCGCTTACCTGGCATTTCTGTCTTCAGATTACCGTTGACTTGGACCCTCATGTCTTCGCGGAGTACCTGGCACGCGCCGTCTTTGCGGTCAGACTCGCCATGGGCTGTCTGGACCGTCTTCGGTTCGTCGTTTTGCCGCAGGCTGTTAGTGGCTCCAGGGGTGGACCCAGAAGCACCAGCCAACGAACCAGCAACGGTAGCTCCTGAGCCCAGCTCGCGGCGTGCAGCCCCAGCTAGAAAGCAACCCTCAAGTATGTTCACAACAACCATTAGGCTACTTACCACCGCCCGAGTGGCGTCGTGAGCTTCACCATGGGTGCGGCTCACGGCCATCACCCCGCTAGCTTCGCCATGGGCTGCGCTAGCTGGGTGCGGCTTGTCACCTTGCCTCTGACTTTCAGCACTGGCATCGCCTCGACCAGTGAGACTGCACAAACTGTCGTGGACCTCGTCGTTCTTCACACGATGAGCCTCGGAGTTCATGTCAGCCCTCACTCCAAGCGGAGGCCGGGTGCTTCCAGCAGCAGACCCCTGCCCCGTGGCCCGAGCGCCGACGGGAGCACAGGCAGGCGGCCGTGCGGCAGGCCTGATCGGCAAGACCGCCGACTCAGGAGTGGCACTCGGAGTGGACACACCCATGGAGTCGATCGGTATGGCATTCGAAACGGGCTCCAGCTTGGCGGGTACGTCATGGACGCCCGCCCTTCCACCCTTCGGTGGCCCAGACGTCACGGGACCATTTTGAGCGAATTGTTTTGGAACGTATTTGTTCTGCTCGCCAGCCGTGGGCCCGAATGCGCCGGTGAACAAACCTGCGGCCCTGGTCTCCGCACCAGCTTGCGCATCTTGGATACTTCCGCCCTCTCCTGTCAAACCTCCCACGCGCCGATTGGGAGGACAAAGAACTGGCTGTATCACTGGATGATTGTCGCTGGCCTTCGACGGGGCATGTCTTCGCCCCTCCTCCGACTTTGAATCAGAGAGCTCCGAGGGAGGCACATGGGACACCTGGGCAACGACAGGAGGAATGACAGAGCCGCCATCGTCATGCCCACCATCCTTGCCAGCATTCTCCGTAGGAGGCTTCTTCGGAGGCTTGTGGAGGGGCTGCGTCTCCGTCCCTATGATGTCTTCGGTGTTACCGTCATGGACGCGCACACCTTCTTCTAGACCCGCGCCAGCACAACGTGATGAGGAGCCAACAGAGAAGGGCACGTCACTTGCAGCCTTATCGCAGGTGACGGAGGGTTGACGCTCTTGGAGCGTCGATGCATCGTCGTCCACGTGTTCGACCTTTTCCGCGTCCTTGGGCCCAGGCGCCCGTTTGACACGCCATCCACGACGAGGCGTGGCCCCAAGAGCAACCGACTGGGCAGGAGATGCGGCATATGGAGCGCCAGCTCTTAGACCTATAGCGCCTGCTTGAGGTAGCTGCTGCGCACCGCCACGGAGGTCTCCACGTTGGAGGACAGGTGCACCTGGTGGTAGCACGTCTGGTGGGAGATCGGCTGCTGGTGGAGGAGTCGCTTCACGCGGAGGATCCGCACCTGCGTGTCGAAGGTGCGCCCCAGCATCTCGGAGGTGCAGATCCCCGTGGTCAGCTCGCCAACCAGCTTGAGGGCCCACGACTGGTGGAGGAACGCCCACTCGCGGAAGATCCACCACTCGCGGTCGATCAGCGTCACGCGGATGCTGATCGCGAGGGGGAGGAGCTCCATGTTCACGGTCGGCCTTCAGCACCTGGCGCATGGCGCGGGCCAGGCTGGGGAGTTCCTGGCCCCTATGCGCCTGCACCTCCGCGAAGGCTCGCAGGAGGTGCTGGGTGGCCCACCCCTGCGCCCGCGCCGCCTGAACGCGGCGTGCGGCGGCAGGCCGATTGGGGCGGCGAGCGCCACCCTCCCGGGCCGCCAGCCCCCCCATCCCGCGGGCGGCGAGGGGAGAAGAGGGGGCCGGAGAAAGCGGTGCGTGCGGTTCGGAGAGGGAGGGCGCGGCGAGGCAGGGGGACCCCCTTTTTTTTTTTTTTTTTTTTTTTTTTTTTTCTTTTTCTTTTTTTTTTTTTCTTTTTTTAGCGCGTGCTCGGCAAGGCCCCGAAAGGCCTTGGACCGAGTTGGGAGCTGGAGGTGCCGGAGGAGGAGGGAGGAGGATTGGAGTGGGAGGGCGGAGGAGGCGGAGGAGGAAGAGGGGAGGAGCGAGGAGGTAGAGGAGGAGGAGGAGGAGGAGCAGCCCCGAGGAGGAGGAGGGAAGGGAGGGAGGAGGAGGAGGGGGCTGGGGAGGGGCGAGGGA